CATAGATTTTACTATAATGATGACATAGCAGATTTTGTCCAAAATACTGTCACTCTGAAGGTCCAATATCTTAGTCTCGTAAGTTCTTGATGAGCAGCACTGCAGGAAGGCATTCATATCCTGTTGGAACTGGAGGCACAGCGAGGCCATGTGACTTCTCCAAGGTCATAGAGTGAGGTGGCAGGAAGCCCTAGATCCAAGGTACCTGAGGGTTTCTGGGGAAGGTTTCTGGTTATGTCGTTTTCACCTTCCTGACTGTTGAGTCAGATTTTCTCTTGTACAGGCTTCCAGGTTTGGTGTTCTAAACCTAAGCCTGCCTTCTCCAAGGTAGGCCAGTGATAAAAAGAGAGAGGCCTTTCTCTCTATCCTTTGGCCAATGCCCCATTCCACCCCAGAAGCCTGCTGTGAATAATTAGATAAAGCACACCTCCCACTGCCCTCAGAGGCTTTGGGCTCACCTGCCAAGTCAAATACACTTTATCTCAGTCAAGCATTGCCTGCCCCTCTGCTGTGGCCGAACGCCCAGGCAGTTTACTGCTATTTAACAAAGCCAACTGGAGAAGAAAGTGACCCAAATGCCAGCACTGGGAGAGTTATGAGATGCAAAGGAAATTTCCATGAGGTAAAATATGCAAATGAAAAAGCCTGACTTTTCTTCTCAACATAAACCAGCCACTTATAGCCCTGGGCTATAAAATGCCAAGACAGCCAATGGGCCCAGATTGGGCCACAGCACAGGGAACCAGCTGGCTAGGAGTCCAAGGGCCTGGACATGAGGAATACAGCAGAACCCATTTCTGCTTCTGCTGGTCACCATTCATACACTTCCAAGGGTGCTTTTGGGGCATCTTTTGTAAGGCACGTCTCGTTCTGTGTGGTAGAGCATCTATCTTTGCATTTGTTTTGGTTGCCATGATGGAATTCTTTAAGTTCCTCCGTAGCACATTCAGCTCCTTATTATCAGTATGTGCACCAGGATGCTGCCACACACAGTGGGAGTCTGACTCTTACTCATTCACCCCTTTGTGTTGCTGCCATGGGAATGGGAGGTTGGCAGCTTCTCTGATGCTCTGGTAGAAACTCATGGCAAGTGGTCTGTTGGGGAGTCTTTGCAACTCCTTCTGAGCCTTACGCTTCCGGGGGCAACATTTCTTGGTGGTGGGAAGTTCCTCATGATCTCCATTGCAGAACTGAATAACAGTGGAGCCCTCTGCAATTTTTTCAGGGACCCAGCATATCTGGGAGAGATGCCCACATTACATTAGGCTGCCAGAGAGGGTGAACGTTTCTGGCTCCACATGTCTGCTGTTACCCTCCTTGAAGAAAAGCTTTACCATTCTCGAACGTGATTTGAATCAACTCTTTGTGTCTCAGTTTTCTCATCTGTGAGATAATGCTGATAACACTCACCTCCCAACGTTGTTTGTGAACGTAATAACCATGAGGCTGTGCTCATGAGTGGGCTCTGTAAATTATAAATACCTTACTTGTAAGATATTCTGTCATTCTATCAGCCAGCATCCTTCTTGAGAAATTGCATATGGAAGTGGTACGGGTCAGACTTGAAATTAATTAGCACATTAACGCACGTATGATGGATTTGGAGGTGCTGAACACTCCCTTCTCACCCACTGAGATCCTGCTGCTCAGCCTCTTACTAAGTCTGCAGTTCACTGCAGATTGACTCTGTACACCCATGAGTCTCTTATGATGTGTATTCGACTGGCAAGAGGAATATCACATACTTTTTTTTTCAATAAATAGAGGACATCTTAAGTACCTCAGAGTGAATGGCTGCTATAAAAGTTCCAAAAACAAGCATCATCAACCTTGTCATTTGTCCCTGGTCACAGGGTTAAGGTGTGGTCAGGGTTGTGGATTGAATCTCAGAATAAGAACAATACATGGAGTTTCAAAGTGTAAGAAATATGAGATAATAACACTGTTTTTGACAGAAAGAGAATAATGAAGGAGCATTCAACCTCTATACGTTCTCTCCACTTTACTGTAGTTTTCTTCAGGGAATATGATTTTCTGAATCATCAAGGTGCATCTCTGTGTGTGGCGAGGGAGAGAATGTACGCATTACAGATGGTGGTAACTTGGGACAGAGCACCTGCCTTTCCATTTTCTCTCAAAAATTTTCTTATTCCAAGCCCAAAGCAGAAACTTATATTTGAATCTTTCTGTTGCTTTTATTTTCCATCACCTGACATTAAAACCTACTCGGAGAGAGACTTTGACATTATTCATCTTTTTGCATGAAACATGCAGTGTTTTTTATTATTTACATCTTCGAAATGATGAAGCCATATAGCATAGGCTAGTGAGAAAGTCCTCGCTTCATAATCAGACAGATTGGGTTGCAGTTGTGGCTCTATGGGTTATCAGCTCTGTGACTTTTGGCAAGTTTTCTGTTTTTTGTTTTTTTACACTTCTGAGCTTCAGACTCCTCATCTGGAAAGGGGAGATGATAATATTGACCTGTGATTATTCTCAGCATGTTTAGATAACGTAATACATTCAAAATGCGTGGCATAGAGTAGATTCCCCCAATGTGCTGGCAGTGTCTTCTTTTTTTTTAACTTAACAGCTGTAGAAGTGGAGAGAGGTCATGGAGAAGAAACAGAGCTCAACTCTCCAGGCCTGTAAAACCCATTCCCTAGAGCTCTTTGCAAAGCTCACCTTTATTTGCAATCTATTTCTCTTTTAAGGGTGGAATTCACTTAGAATCCTTCACTCGAAGAAATCTTTGCTCAAAACCCTTCAGTGGCTCAGCTTCCTACCTAAGCGTGTCGAAACTCTCCTGCTTGATTTTCAGATTCTTTTTACTTTTGTATACCATACCTCTCCAGCCCGGTTTCTTTCCATCCTTCACTCGTGTTCGTCACACATCGTCTCTCTTATTCATTAATGTGGCAGATTGTACTTCTCAAAGACATCTCTGGTCCCATATGCTCTTCCAGGACCTTCTACTCTCTCCTCAAGAGGCGGAGTCTATTTTCCACCCCATTGAAACTGAGCAGAACTTTGTGACTTTCTTGTGGATGGAATGAGGTGGGAGTGCCAGCTGCTGTGTGACCTAGTGACCCTGGGTTGTAAAAAGTGGTAAGACTTGCTGCCCCTGCTGCTTGCTTTCTGTAGGAATGCTCCCCTTTAGAGCCTGGACACCTTGCTGTGAAGCAGCAGAGAGCCACATGGAGAGGCCATGGGTAAGAGTTCCAGTTGGCAGCATTTCACTGGGGTCCCAGCAGACACCCAGGCTCCTCTACCAGACATTTGTGGACAAGATTATTTCAGCCCCTAGTCTTGAGCTGCCCCAGATCTGATGAGTGGAGGAGAGGGGAGTTGCCTCCACCAAGCTTTAGCAAAATTGCAGAGTCATGAGGAAAATTAATGTCATCATCTTAAGCCATTAAGTTTTGGGTGGTTTACTCCTCAGCAATAGAACCAGAACAACTTAAGAGTACTGCTTCCCATTTATATTTAAAGGTTTGGGGGGTTAAAGTCCTGTCTCCTCTGTTCTTTATTTGGAGGGCAAATCAGTGCCAGGTACACAATACAACAAAAATGGTTCTTAATGATCATCTAATTCAGTAATTCCAGAGCTGAATTTTGGAAAATAGATGTCCTGTGCTTTATTTTTTGTGATTCTAATGAAAAGGCTCTGAGGTGGTGCCCAGAAATACAGTTAAAAGTCTTCTGATGAGCATCCTGATTTGGAAACCACTGATACAGTTTACACTTCTGAACTCAAAGGTGCACAAATAGACCCAAAAGCGGGAATTAACTAGTCTTAGGTAGCAAAGCAAATGAGTGGAGCTGAAATTGGAACTCAACTCTGCTGTCCCTCCCACTGGCTCATCTTTGGAAATATCTTTCTTTGTAAATTACTCAGCATAGTTGGCTAGAAATATTAACTGGCTTCCTGTACTACCTATTCTTCAGAGTAACTCTGTAATACATTTATCTCTGCCCCATAACACAATCTCTGTTTTTTCAAGCGCATGAAATGTTTCCATGCTTTCACAAGGTCTGGGTGAAAAGGGTCTGGAAAACACAGCAGGAGGGAGAAAATGGTGCGATAGAGATGCCTGTTTTCTCTTTGCGTGACTGCCAAGGTCAAGCCACACATATACATATGTTTCTGCCTTCATCTGCCTGCAAAGGTTGAATTAGACATGAGCTGGACAGGTTGATCTCTCCATCTCCAGCTGACATGCTCACAATGTGCCAAAGAATAGAGCACCGCAGGGACAAATGGGATGAAGTGAAAATCATTTCCATCGCCCTGGGAGGAAGATGACAGATCAATCAGGGCAGGTTCTGGATGAATGAAGTCAATGAGTTGGAAGTCCTTCTAAAGGACTTCTCTCTGCTTTTCCAACTCTTCAGCCAGTTATAAGATTGATTTTTTTTTAATAACCCAGAATTTTCAAGAGTGTTTTGCTTCATTGATATCAACACTAGCCTGCTTCTGCAATAATTTGACATTTGAATCTTGAGTTATTTCTTGAAATTTCCTTATGGACTTAAAAAAAATTCAGTTGGGTTTTGATTTAGAAACTTTCCTCTAAAACTTGATTTTGGATAGGCAGAGATTTTAAAAAATATTCTACTTAGGTCTTATTTTATGTTTTTCACTGGCAACAAAGCTTGCTGTTTGGGAAATTTTCTTTTGTCAAAAATTCTTGCTTTTTCACTATATATAAAAATAGATTTTAAAAGTTTCTTTTGTATAGCATAAGGAACTATGTTCAATATCATATAATAACCTTTAATGAAAAAAATATGGAAACGGATACATGTATGTATATGCATGACTGGGACATTGTGCTGTACACCAGAAATTGACACATTGTAATTGACTGTACTTCAGTTTTTTAAAAAAGTAATCTAGTATAGAAGTCCAAAAAAAAAAATTCTTGGTTTTTAAATGGACTTGGTGGCCATTTTTGAACCAACACAGTATTACTCTGAAATATTTTATCTCATCTTCTGCTCCCCACTCTTGATCTTCCAGATTAAGAAAGCCTGAGTTACCCCCAGAATGAGTTACTCTAAGGACAGGTTGTATTTACTTTTTCCTCCTCAAAATGGAAGCTGGACTAATGGAATGGTTATAAGTTCTCATTAATTACCTCTCCTGTTTTTACTCATGTCACAATTGGGAAGTTTTCTTTTTTCTCCCCAGCTGGTACAGTTTTTCATTCAGTTTTAGTTTTCTAGTCTTCCTAATTTACATTTGGTTGCTTTATTCCTCCTGGCTTGTAAATTTTCTCATTTACGTTTGGTTTGCTTAAATTTGATTATTCCTGTGGACTTTTTTTTGAGGTTTGTATGTTTTGTTTTTGGTGTTAATTTGAACTTAAATAATAATACCAAATATTTTTGAATGCTCACAATTGTGTCAGGCACATTTTATTAATACAAATGTTATTTTGTTTAATCTGCGCAATTTCTTGGTGAACTAGATGATATTATTATTCCCATTTTAGAGATGAAGAAAGTGAAGAAAGAAATGAAGATATGTAAGTTCCCAAAGAACACAAAACTGGTAGAAAGGGCTTAATCATATACTGTTGTTCCGTAGGTAATAAATCTCCTTTTCCCGTATTCTGTGTGTACTTTTGGCTCTGACTTTGGGTTAAGGTTCAACAGGTGTATTTAGTTTGTCTTAGTTTAATAGTTACCCAATTGACCATGATCAGAATCACTTGGAGGGCTTGTTAAACCACTAATTGCCAGGCTCCGCCCACAGAGTTTCTATTTAAGGGGGGTCTGGCTTGGGCTCTGAATTTGAGTTTTCAACAAGTTTCCAGCTGACGGGGACGTCCTGGTCTGGGACTGCTCTTTGAGAAGTGCTGGTTTCGTTCTTTCCCTTCAGGTAAAGTTAAGAGCCTTCTACTTTATAATTCCGTCTAAATGTGGCAAGTTGGTATCTAGAAATATCTATATCTATATCTATATCTATATCTATATCTATATCTATAGTTGGCCCTTGAAAAGATATATATATATATATATATATAGTAAATGGCCCTTGAAAAATGCAGGTTTGAACTCTGAGTCCACTTATATGAAGATATTTTTCAGGAGTAAATAACTACAGTGCTGCATGGTCTTGGCTGGCTGAATTTGCTTACAGTGTATACAGAGACTATAAATTATACATGGATTAACCCCTGCATTGATCAAGGGTTAACTGTAAAAATCAGTCAATTTAGGAATTCTTTTTCTTGTTCTTTTTTTGCCTCCTGGAAGACAGAATTATACATGGTTTATGGTTTTTTCTTTTACCTTTCCCAAGACGGCTGTGTTTAGTTTCTGGCTAAAGCTGTTTCCTCAGGCTTAAGTGATGCCTTTGGCCGAATGCGCTCCTAGACCTGGGGGTGCGGATCCCTCCGTGCCTGGGGTTGGGCACAGGCAGCAGCCCACACTTCAAGGGAAGTACCTAGTCTCGGTGCGTCCAGAACTACAGGCTGCTGCTCTGTAGGCTTAGCCATTTTCCAGCCCTTTCATTATGGTCCTTACTTATGGCAGACATTTATGGGTAGCGTGGGTCTCATTCCACTACGAAGTGATGATTTACCGAAGTCTTTCTAGTCTTTGCTTTCAGTTCATTGATGGTTCTCACTGCCGGCAGTCAGTTTTTCACAGAGCCGGCTAATCTTATATTGCCTTTATGTTTGGTCTGTTGGTAGAATTTTGAACTGATGGCAGTTAAATGATTTCTTATGTGAAGTGTTCCGGGGAGATGTGAGAGGACCTGGGAGACAAGAGGATCCTGGGAGTTCCATTTACAAGGTGTATGGGTGGGAAGAGCAAAATTAGAATAAGCAGTAGGTGAAGACGCCCAAAGGGCATCTCAGAATGAAAAGGCCCAGATGTGCCTCCCCTGCTGTTCACCTACAGCTCCACCGTCTGATAAATGTAGGTTCAGGAAATGATAGGATTTAAATGCTAGGAACGTTCTGTAACTCTGAGGATGTGCATGATGTTCTAGGTTACTTGTAGTGTCATGGATCATGCAATTATAAGGCATTTGAATTGGCGAGTTTGGGAAGCTTCCAGTGCACCCGAATGCTGACTGCATCAAGAGGCGACTAGATTCAGAATGAAAATGAGTTATGCTTTGATGCCTATGAAGTAGGTGATCTTGGGCAAGTCATTTAAGCTCTCTGAGTGTCAATTTCCTCATACACAAAATGAGGAAAAAATTGTCCCCTCATGGGAGAGTCGTAAAGGTGAAATAAAGTTAAGTGTGATAATCTCTTGAAGAGCAATGTCTGGCTTTGTATTTGACTTTCAAGTTCTGTCATAACATGATACAGTGAATTCAGCTTTGGATCTCACATTCTCAAGAGTGACCTCTGCCCCAGTCAGACTGGTTTCCTTACAGGGCCATGAACGTGGAACTCTCTTCTCATTGACTTTGCTCAAAAACATCCATGCATTTTACTTGCTGAGCCAAAAATGTGTGGATTTGGCATCTTCCAGCATAGTTTCGTTTTCTGTTCTTTCTGGGAGCAGAGGAGTCAGTGGAGGAGGGGGAATTACTGTAAAAATTGAGTCAGTGTGAAATCACTCCATCACTAGTTCCTGACCCTCTATTCTCAGCCCATGGTGGCTGCTGAGCATCATAAAGAAAGAAATATATGGCTCCTTCCTGCCCTTAGCTCCTTGCCATTCAACCAGGGATGCTAACCACTCTGCCACAACAGCTGCCAACAAAATTTTCCCAGCAGAGCGGCACTTCTACACCTGGGAAATGTTCTTGTGTCAGATCTGACCAAGGAGCATCTAAATGGTGGGGGCAATGTGCACCATAGATTTCATAGAGAACTAAGTGGGGCATGCTGAAATCATAATGAGTCTTTATCCTCATCTGTCAACTTATAGATTGATGGATTGGCCAATGCTGAATATTTCCTCATGGATTTACCAGTATATTTCATCCTCTTTTCTTCCATAGCTGTTAATTTTAAAGATTGTGTTTATTTTGTATCATGTCCTGCCCCTGCAGGGGCTGTGTGAACCCTTATTAACTACTAGCAAAGCTGCCCCTTGGTAAATTTCTGGAGATCTCTGTGTCCCTAATGGATGTGTTATAAAGAGTATTTATTCGATTCTTCTTATACTTTTTGAAGGTGAGCAAAGTAAAGAATGGTAGATTGAAGCTCATATTGAGAAAGCAGTTACTTACTGTGCTTAATAATAACTGTATCAAGTCAGACCTTTCAGGATGGTGGTGTTGTGTGCCTGGAGTTGTGTCACATAATTGCTCATTGACTTCAAGAAATCTGTGAAGCAGGTGTTGTTAGTCTTGTTATACAAGTGAGGTAGCCAGTGTTCAGAGAGGTTCGCTAAGTGCAGGAGGAGCACAGGATTGGAATCTCAGGCTTTTGGTTTGAGTGCAGAGTTCTGTATTCAGTTGTGTCCTTGGACAAGTGAAGCAAGCTTGTGTTTCACCATTCACTAAATCCCCTCTCAAAGTGTTGTTGTGAAAGTTAACGGTGATGATACATGCAACGTGCTAAGTACTGGTTTGGTCCTTAGCACTTCTTAAACATCAACTGCCACCAATAAAAAGAACAGCCAGGATTCTGATCTAGAACGTTCCATTTCCTAAGTCCATCCTCTTGAGCCCAGGGCTATGCACATTTCTGTTTTCATGCTGAACTAAAATCTTACCTAGCAGGTGAACAGGGCTTTGTATAAAGGGACCATAGCAACTATCGTTTCTGAAGTGGAATTGGATGGTTTCTTTTCTTTGTGGGCCCCTAGCAGTAGTGTTTTGAACTTCTGTCACAGTAGTCAAAATAAGCATGCTTTTTTTCTGATGAGCCTGTTAGGAAGGTTTCATTACCTATGGGTTCAATTTTAAAGAAACACATATGCAAATTTTGGCTTGCAAAAGAAAGCAATGTGCTATAGTAAAGTTCACAAGGTCTGCTAGTTGTTCACCAGAGCTAGTTCCTCCTCTTCTTGAGTGCACTGCGGGAGAATATATCCCACCCTCCTGTGACTGACTCAGCCAGTGGAGGATGAATGGGATGCCCATCAGGGCTCTTTTCCCTTCCTGGCAAAACTGAAGACAGTCAGGGGAATCTCAGAAGCCACATGCAGAAGCTGACAGAGCCATGCATGAAAAGTACTTGTGTCTCTTTGGATCATGCCTGGGGACAGCTACCTGTCCATCAAAAATACTCGAGTGGAATTTACTGAAACAAAATATAACTCTTTTGTGTTGGGCCGTGATCCCTTTTGGGCTTTGTTTTTTACATCAAACTAATAAAGAAATGTTTCACAAACTTTGGTAAGTATGCCAATCAGATTGACTTAGAAAAACTGCTTGCCTTCTCCCCCTCTTTTAGTGAGTTAAGGTTCACCACCTGCTTGCAGGAAGAATGAACCAGCACACGGCCTCTGGAGATCACTTTGAATCTCTTCCTCTTTCGCCTACCTGTCAGCCCAGGTAGGGGCCTTCACACATCTCCTAGAAGCATCAATGTACCCATCAGCTTTTCTCTGTGTTCTTCTGCATCCTATATCATCCTATATCATATCATATATCACATCATGTATCATATGCATATTCTATGCATCCTATATCATATCATATTATATCATGACATTTCATGTCAGTTAGTTCAGTTTAGAGAGAATTTGAGACTTAATTCAGCTCACAGCTGCTTTAAACACAGTGGGAAAAGTAAGCTGGGAAGGCCTGAGGGTTAGTTGTGTTTCCACTACTTAATGACCACATAGCCTCAAGCAAACCTATATTTCCCTTAAACTCAGTTTCCTTGTCTGTAAAGTGTGATTAATGCCTGCTGCTTCTCTCCCTGCGATGCTTTGAGAATGGACATATGGTTTAGGAGAGTGTTTTTAAGAAATTAGAACATGCCCTACAGGGCATTACAACTATTACTTATATAAAATAATAATGTGCACTTTGGAATCTTTACAGTAAAATGGTAATTGCTTAGTCCCATCACAAAAGGTTTCTTTTTATTTGTGAAAGGCAGTGTGGTGGATTAAAGCAGATTGACAGGCAGCTCTATTTGAATCTTACATCCCATTGCTTACTAGTTGTCTGAACTAGTAATTTATTGAATTGGTTGCTCCATGACTTGTTCTTATTATCTGTGAGTTTTAATTAATCACACCTACTTTGCAGAGTGTCAAGACCGAGTGAGTGCTTGCAAGTTAGGCACTGAAAAATAAAAAAACCAATAATATATTTGAAAGATTTGCTACAGGTCAAGAGAATTCCAGCATTACTAACTGTTTGCATGCACATTAGCAAATATTTAACAACAGACATAAGGGAGCTGACACACTTAATATTGAAGACTCAGAAGTCACTGTCAGTTGGAGGGCAGATAAAGCATCTCAGAAAGTCTAATGCCAACCAGTGGGATATTACTTTGTCTGACTTATAAAATTCCTAATTAAATGTGATTTTATAAGAACTAGTGTTTTGCATAGAGAGTATACTTGTCCTGAGGAGTGCAGTGATGTACAGCCAGATGGACTTGCTCTTAAGTCAGGACTGTGGGCTGACAGGCAGGGTGACAGCAGGGAGATCATGTCATCATCAACCGCATCTGGTCACTCTTTCCTAGTCCAGTTACTGCAAAACACTTTCTCTTCAAGTCTCTGTGGTTTTTGTAGATGCAGCTTAACTGCCACAGTGAAACTGTGATCCACTTCTGTATGCAAATAAACAGTGTCCTCTCTGCTTTCTTTATACCCTTCCATCCAATTGTATTAACAAAATGTGTGAGACCATTACTGATAGTAATAATGATAAACTTTCACACGTCGCATATTTGAGAAAAGCTCCTACAATAGTCAGATATTATTCTCTACTAAGTATGG